TTTTAATATTTTTAAAAATATTTTTTCAAACATTGTGTGCTGATTGGGTAGAGTCACCTGCCTGCGTAGACCCATGTAGCGTACAGCGTAGAGCACCAGGCAAGGGTAAAATTTAAATATTCATTCAAAAGGAGATTTGCTCCGATAGTTATTGTTAATTTGCGCTAATTTAGCATATGGCAAAAAGCCATTTTGATTGTTCAACATTTAAGACTTATATATACAATAAAAGTTTATGTATCAACCTTATATTATACACACGAGTGTATCTCGACCTAACGAAGGTTTTCAACGGAATAAATCCGAGATTCCATGCGTATTAACGAAAGCGCAACTGCAGCCATAGGAGCATTGCATTCGTGTATGATAATAGCGCGAAAACGCTTAAAGCCCGATATTCCAACGAGATGTCGGATAAAAATATAAACTCGCCCGTAAAACGCAACGGCGTATCGCGAGAGTAATATAAAGTCTTTATTAATTATTATTATACTATATCGTAACGCAGAATATGTGTCATTAATTAATTCGCGAATATTGGATGAAATAGCCTTAAGCTCTCATCGCGGGTTCCATTCATTGGCCGATTCATGGCATGTCACATATTCTGACGTCACGATACACGAAATGGCGGACACCGAGTTCAACCAGCCAATGAGGAGGCATTGAACCCGAAAGATTTTATTGATACCTTATACTCCGTCGTTCGTACGCGAAACGCGTCTATATTATCTTATATTCATTTATATAACTCGTGTAAACCGTGCTGAACCAAGCAGAAGCCGTTTCCCAAGGATATAACTATTCTAGTAACTTCTCGTATACGCAAGATTAGCGTTATTCAATAAATCTCATTTGATTGGCTCGTCCCGTTGTTCAGGACGAGTATTATGTATTTTATTTAATGTTTATATGCGTGCGCAGCGTCTAACTGTCGTAATAAACGAGTAATTAAAGAAAAACCTAGATTCTGGGGGATTCTGGTGGATTCATGTAAACGAGCAATTCGTGACCACGTCTCCAGGCATCTGCCGACTCGGCAACAGAGTGCCGATACGTTGACGCAAGCATGCTACAGCCAATCAGGCGTAACCCAGATTGTAACTGGCGCAAAATGTCGTCAGGTAACGAAAGTTGAATGTATGTCGAAACCGACAAGCCGTGCGATTCGTCCACGTACTTGTTTACGCGGATAATCTGTCGCCGGGCAGAACTGCGCCTGCTCAGAACCCGAGTGGGGATGAGGAAGAAGGCGGACGTGCCGAATTTAAACGAAGACCCATGGTCTTTCGTCTTTCGGACATCAAAGCGTGAAGTTCGCGTCTCTTGACCCGAAGCGAGGTCCCGCGTTCGTAATATAATACGGCGTGTATAGTGAGCGTTGCTACCACGGTAAAAGCTACCCGATCACTTCGAGTGTGCTACAACGGCGCACAGTGAATCGAACTGCATGAAAATGCGGACATGAGCTCAAAAAATTTTTTGTATCAATCAAGTTTATAATTTCATTTTTGGTTACTTGAAATGTCATAGAAATAGTATATAACTCTAATTTTTTTAAAATATTGTTACAACTTATGCGTAAAGTAACCATAAACCTTACGAGTTAAACAATTCTAAATTTCTATGAATTTAGTTGTCTATTTTCAAGGTAGTATATTTCTTTTCACTTCGTATATTATCACATCAACTTTTTTACAGCAAATGTATTATTAACTTTTGGCTTGAAAAAAATCCATATTTGAATAAGAAAATAATATATAATTTACAATTTAACAATTAATTTTATAATATTTTAAAGAAAATCTCGATTATTCAATTATAAATTAATTTTTACAAAAAAGCTTATAAAATCTTAAAGTTTCACTTGTCACATCCCTACTGAAAAAGTCCAATTGAGATCACATCTGAGAACTCAGTTGAAATTATAATTGAGAACTTTATTAGAAACTTTAATGATATTTCCGCAAAAATTCTCATATTAAATCTCAACCAAAATTATATGATACATAGAAATTTTTTCTTTTATTTAATGTGAGAATTTTAGTAAACGCAAAGTAACATTAATATAATAACACCGGCACACAAAAAAAAAAAGTGGTTTGTGCATTTGACCGGACCCATCTAC